GTGGTTCGAACTGGATTTACCGTCCACTGGTCCCTTCCTACCTGTAATGTGTGCACCTCCCACGATGAGTGGTATTATCTGACAGCCTTTGACGGTCAAAGCCAGTTCCCATTTAGTTACGCCGCCCAAACTAAATTTCCACCTGGTTTCGCTATGCCAACTCTTTTTGTTATAATAAGTGTTGTGCCAAGTGACGGTCATGTCAAAATACCTGTGCGCCGAAAATCAGCACCTCGCACAACAGGTTATTACACAACAGCAGACCGCAAAAGCCCTTGGCGGGCAAACCGTGTTTTGGCCGACAACTTTGTTTTCTCGGCTTTGGAACCACCTTTCGTAAAGTTGTTTCAATTGGAAGTACAGTCCACCCTAGTCCCTTCCTACCTCTAAAGTCTCCACCTCCCCCGACCAGTGATATTCTCTTGACAGCCTTTTCATTGCCAAAACCGGTTACCATTGAGTTACGCCGCCCAAACCAAATTTTCACCTGGTTTCCCTATGCCACCTTTTTTTTTATAATAAGTGCTGTGTCATGTTACTGTCAAGAACAAGCACCTGTGTGCCCAAATCTGCGCTTTACACAGCCCGCTATAACACAACATTTTGGGTCGAATAATGGATATCCCGTACAGCTCTGTTTCTTTATTCATTAGAAACCTAACTTTCACACCTGCTGTCTTGAAGAAACTTGGCACACTTCGTGCACAAACTTAGTGAACATCTCACTCGCCTCCAGATATCATCGTTCCAGCAGTCCTAGGTTTACAGCGACGAGCGAAATAAATTTCCCACCCAGAGCAATCAAGGTGGCGGCCGTCTTGTTTTTCGGAATTCGGCCGCAACTAGAGAAATTACCCCTAATAACGACTCAAACTCAATATATAAGAAGTGGAGAACAGCTAGATGCCCTTCTTAGGTCTACACAAGTAGTCATGCAACGTCATCCTCAACTTATCGGCTCAAAAAGCAAAAGTTTCGCCCGTGCGCGCTTCCGCCGCCACAGCTTGGCATGCGAAAAGGCGCCGCAGGCTGCTGAACGCGCCTCACAGTCGAACGCCAGCTCCTCCGCTAGCGGCGCTGCGCACGTTTTTCAAAGCGCCCCCTATAGTTCCCGCACGGAGTGTATATACGTAAAGGAACTTTCACGACTCACGTGTTGAACGCAAGATTATAAACATTACCCACTGCAGCGATTAAAGAAGTAACCTGGGTACGCTTTGAAACCAAAATAATTATGAGCATTCCAAAGTGCTTCTACGGTGCATGCTGCCGCTTTTCTCTCCCGCTTCTTTTTTTTTTTTTTTCTTTTTTACATTTTGGTATGCTTCCAAAACAAATAAAAGACGGGACGAAAAAAAAAGAAAGCTAAGCTGTTTGTCATTTTGTCGTCCTGTTTGTAGGGTTGTAGGGTTCGCAAAGTCAAAGTATTCCTATTCTGAAATTTTGTTTCGCTGCCTTGATAGTGGCGTGGAGTCCTTGAGGCTCAAAGAGTAGGGGAACTTTAGTCAAGCCGCCTGCATTCTCCGAGGCGAGGCCAGCGTCCTTCGAGGTCAGGATTTCGCGGCTTATGTGACGTCAGGAGCGGAGTCATCCGCACCTGCGAGCCCGAGGAAAGGCTTAGGTTGCTAATAACACTGTCGAGTTTAGCGAGAGCTCTTCGGAAAGCCGGAGCCGGACTTCTAATTCTCACGCTCACGCAGTCCACGGACAGTGTTGTCATCTTCGTTTTGCTTTGGAATGTTCCGGCCCCTCGCCGTAGTGGGTTGTCGAACAGAAAGAAAAGCACATAGAACTTTTAATGCCTTCACAAAAAAAAAAAAACTGACAATGGAAAAGGGAAAGGGGGAAAGAGGAAAACCATGCAATTTCGAAGGTGTTTCGACCCTTGAACACGACCTGGCTATGCCACTGTCTGGTTTATCAGCGCGGCCAACCAGCGCACCCCGACGAGCATGCGTGTCTTCGCGGCAACCGCGTCGTATTTACACGTACCGTATGTCGGATTCCCAGTCGGTACCTTTTCGTTCCCGTGGTTTGGACCCGCTTCAAAACAACGATTCGGGGTAGTAGTTAGCAGATCGAAAACAAACAAATGTTGAAGGATAACGAATGCAGACCAGCATTTATTTTCTCCAAAATCTCACAAAAATGTGACAAAACACAAATCACACTATCGGGTTTGTCGAAACTAGCCGCTTGGCAGATTTTCCGGAGTGGTGTCAAGCGACTGTGGTGATTCCGCCGGAATGCTTCGATGAAATCGATATTCCACAGCGACCTCTTTCTGACAGATGGCCAGTCTGTTCGCCGAGTCAAGAAACTGACACCGATCGAAGAAAGCGGACGAAGCCTAATTACACAACGTACGCGTTTGAAATTGTAGCGCAATTCACAGAACCTTTACAAACAATGCAGAAATTCAGTCCCGTTTTCATCGCGTACCGCTACTATCGTTTACCTAGCCGAAACACTCCAGATGAAAATTTCTGGCCGGCTTGGTTAAAATGTTTCACTGGGTCCACCGTTCCCGTACATTCGATGGCGCTTGTTTCGACCGGGAACGGCTGCCATTACGTACGACTAGCATATGATAAAATATAGCACACATGAGGTCATCCTTAATTCTAATTAACTCTACACACTAAAAGTTTTTACACCTTCAAGGGTGTAAAAGGGGTGTTTTGGCAATTTACACCCTTGACTACACCCCTTTAGCACCCTTAAATCAGCTACTGCACCCACATTATTGTACCGAGAGGGGTGTTGTTTCGTGTTACACCCTCCATTTAGTGGAGGGTGTGAGAAGGGTGTAGAAGAGGGTGCTAAATAATAATATGAAAGGATTTCTGAAACCTTATATGTGGACCTCCCCATAAATATATAGGTTAAATTTATGCTTAAAAACATCGGTTGTTAGCAGTCGTTTTTTATAATGTTAGTTGTAATTCATGCAAATAGTTGATAATAAAGTGCCTCTCCTGCGTGCAATTTTTTGTGTTCACAAAATTTTATACGAGTTCATATTCAATTTTCTTAAAAATTACTCCATCCACAAAAAATTGGAAACCAGGGAGAAATTCTGAATGCTATCATTTTTTACAAATATTTATTGATCGAAGTGTAGCAGTAAGAAAATCAGTCTCCAGTTTACTTCTGACAACACAACATGAAATCAAAATATAATATGTTTGACAAATATTCATGACATGCTGCCAGAACCTGTCACATTACCATGTCAACCTATGAAAAATATTGATTTGAAAATATGACGACATGCACAAGAACTCACACGCATAAAGAAGCAGAACCCATAAAAAACCAGTCCGAGACATAAGACTTCCTAAAATATGGGCTAATGCAGTATCCTGGTGTAGATCACACAAAATCTGGAGAACCAGGAGAAAAAAGGAGACATTTGACTTTACTGTCGACAGTGACATCATTCTATTTTTACATTTATCAAAAGAAAAAAACCAAGAAAAATAAGCTGTCTTGTCCAACCATTTTAAACAATCAAAAAGCTAATTCTACTCAGTGTGTGTTGTCCAACCAGTTATCGCAGCAAGAGTCAACTGAGAAAAGGTGACAGTTGTTTTCACTGCCTGTTTTTCGACTGTCTCTCATCGTTGTTTAGCTAGTTTCTGCAGAGAGCACCAGAACTGAGTGGGCTACCATTCAATGATCCATGAAATCTCATAGCAATGAGTGACGTGCGCTTATAACAGTCTGTCCTTTGTGCTCCCGCATGTATAATGGTTCTGTTGTACAGTCTGTAAGTGATGTTACAACTTTGAATTCTTGCGTCGCACGGACAACATAGACGTGAAAGTGCTCGTCGAACCGGACTGTCTCAAGCACATTCCCCAAAGATAAAAGCACTTTGTTAACATAAAAAATTTGACATATATGCAGAAATTCGGGCAGAGCATCGTCAGGAACACTTTGGACAAGAACACATCCTGTTTTGTAGACCCTGCCTTCTATGCTCACAGAGTTCGCTACGAATGAATCAACAGTTTCAAGATCATGCTGAGAGATAAACTCCTTGACGCATTCAGGAAGATGTTCACAAAGTATGGGGCGACAACCTGTTGTGATGGGAACGCTCTTCTCACCAACAGCTGCAAAAGAGAAACACTGCAAAAACTGATGCCTCACTGCTAGACTGTGCGAAAGACTCTTAAAGTTGCGGATTTTACGAGCCATGTCTTTGAAATATTGGTGCTTTCCCTCGAAGCGCATCGCCCAAAGTTCAACTAATGGTCCAAACCTTTCCATGCACGACGGATAGTGAATAAGGTAGTGCATTTTGCAAGGAACTTTAACAGATGGGAACAATGTCTTGAAGTCGAGACAAAAAAAATGAATCTTCCTTTGCAGGTAGCCAATGTGCGAGACTGGGATTTTCCGGCTCATGATGATATCCATGATTTCGCGAAAAAGCAAGTAAAGTTGCCATACTTCGTGTTCTGTTGGAACACATTCGCCAACGAAAAAGGTTAGATGACGAAATAGGCAAAAGACCTGCGTGGCTGATCCTTTCATGGTTGCCTTTCCTTTAAGAAATTCACTAGAAATAGGCTCTGGCTTATTTCGCGCATCACAAGGGTCATAATTCCACTCACTAATTTCCTTGTTTAACTGTGCAAGAGTAAAAAGTCCTTGTGATATTAAGGAAGAAATGATGTGTCTTAGTGCAAATGGTATAACACCCTCGTGCAAGTCGTGCATAACGTCAGGCGGAAAATGCTGTGTGGCATTGAACCCCTGGCATGTAAGAGCACAAGCTGCAGTGACCCCATACAATGATGCAGTTGGCAGTCCAGCCTTCAACATGTTCATATGATGCTCGTGACCTTCCGGTGTGCGCAGCACGAAATCGGTCTCCAGGTGCTTGTAGTTGATTTCACAGTGCACGGCCATGCAGAACCTGCAAATCCTACCTTTGTTGAAACTACGTTTAAAGCCTCCCATTCTATGGCTCGACAGATTATCCCCAGTCAAACAAAGACTGACCCTCTCATCACTTTTCCGTTTGCAACTATGCCTTCAGTTTCTAATCTGCTCACATCCTCAAGCAAAGGTGCAAGAATCTTAGGCAGACCATAGGAGTCCACATGGTGGTCATTCACTAAAAGTGCCAGGTGCATTCCTGATAGCGCAGAGCGGAACCTTGCAGGAAAATTCAGCACTGAGAAATACACGGCGGTCATCTTATGCTTTCCTCTTTTGCTGCCCAAAGGGTTGCACACCTCAAATTCATCAGTATATAACTGCAGGCAGATTTTGTGATGGTCACCTTCAAAGTAGGCATGGTCGCGAAATGCAGTGCCATCAAACACAGAACACATATGGTTGTCAACCTTTGTGTAAGCATTAAAGTCACCCGATAAGGTTGGATGTTCAAGGATACACGTGAGGAGATCACAGAGCGGCACATACTCCATGGTGTCGTCTTTTCCATTGCTGTTGGTTCCTAGCACTACTGTACGGGGCTCAACAAGTGGAAGATGTGTCCTCCAGAACGCGTTCCGGCCAGCTGTCGTCAGTAGCCGGTCCAGTTCGTCAACACAGAATAGCTCCCTCACGTTGGCGGCCACCTCGTTGTTGAGCTGGAGTTGTTTATGTTCCAAAATGGATTTTACGAAAGAAATCACATCATTTGTGATTTCATCTAAGGTTGATTCTGGAAGTCGCCTTCCCTCTTTCCACTTGAGAAGAAGGAGAGCCAGCTGCTTTACACAGCCGCTTGGACCCTGGGTGGATTTACACACTTGTGAAGTCTCTGTACGCAGCTCCTCTTGCCTTTCTTCTGCGTCCGGATTACTCTGTACACCAACGTCATCACTTTGAAAGGCATCCCCAACACTCGGTGCTGCATCCACCAGTTCATTCGCTCCCACGGCTCTTTCTCTTTCGACTGATCCAGGGTGATTTCTGTACACATGTTTTTTATAGGAAGCGAAGAGTTTAAATGTCCGCATGCAGCCACTTAGGCCGCACACCCAGTTGCTTTCGTACCCATGAACTGAGTGAAAGTGCCTGAATAGTGCCCTCAACGAAAAAATGTGGGACGCACACCTTGGGCACCGGAAGTATCGGACACCTGGCATCTGAAAAGAAAGAAGCCCTCTTTTCATTGATATGACCTTCGTTACGTAAGTTTGATGCTCACACTACACGCAATCAACAAGAGGCAAAGTGCAATGTAACGTTTCTAAACCCGAGAAACACCGAAAAAGGAGATGCACACACAAACGAAAAAAAAAAAAAAAATACACGCAGTCTCTAACACAGCTGTGAACTCTTCGAGACGGTGGGTGTGTGGTCCTTTTCCGTGTCTCATTTCTGTCCTCTTGTGTTTAAAGTTTACCAACGTTTTAAATTTACCTTCTTGCCTGTGCCTTTACTCTTCCTTCAGTTGCACTGACATGCAGGTATCGAAGAAATAAAAATCGAGAAGAGACAGAAAGGACAAAGTCGTGCCTTGTCCATCCTTTTCCTTTGTGTCTTTTCTGTCCATGTTTTCATTTCAAAGGACCGAGGAAACATAAAGAGCACAATCTCTTCCGACATTAAACATTACAATGTGGCGTGAAGTATGTAATTGCAATAAATTAATTTCTGCGTCAAGATAAACTAAGTTGGAAGTAAGTTTAGAGAAGATAAATTATATCATATGCCATTAGTCAGTATCATATATAAAGTTACTCGCTTCTTTTTGCCGTACTGAGTCATCGCTTGCGAACATGACTCTAAACGACAAAGCATAATTTTTATTTGGAAATATTTGTAAAACATAGAGCACGGCCACTAAACACGATGACAGGGTACAAGAAAACACATATTTTCAACTTTCAACACACAAAGTATTGTCGAGTTAGAGCAGGGGTAACCTCGCTTTACTGCAGTGATGTGATTGGCCTAAGCCGTTTTGGAGCACCCTCTGGAGCAGCCAAAACAGAGTTGTGGAACAGCAAATCTGGCTTTTGGAGCAGATATCCGTAGAGAAAAATATATATTCATTTCAAGTAGTGGACAAACGAAGGACACATTGCTCGCCGCAATCAACCAATTATTGTTAACATAGACCACCTGGGAGTCTTTCAACATGTAACTGAAATGCCAATGACATGACACATTTTGTAATGCTTCAGTTTGTGGCGATAGCCATTGAAAAAAGAAGATCGCGTGGAATAAAAGTGCCACATCAGCTCGATTTTGGAATTTGTCAGACGTAGCCGCTTTTCGTCTGTCTTTTTCTACATTTGGTGACCCGGACGTGATACAAATATATCGGACCACATGTTTAAATTTATTTGAAAATGACCAGCTTAGTAGTAGATATCACATTATTAGGTTTATTAGTAATACAATAAATGGAAGCAATCTCCGACTGATGAAGCACGTAACTACTGCCTTGTAATGCAAAATTGTCGCGCGAGCAGAGATGGCTGTTCGATCGAAACCATGCCACTCCTCTCCGCCTCAACTAATTCCCAAAATTGTATGCAAAATGTAACTGTCCAACATACGAGAAAAAAAAAAAAAAAGTCCAGCGGCACGTTCTTGCCAAGGCGGCAAACGAGGTACAAGCTAAACACAGAAAGAAAGAAAGAAAAAAAAAAAGAAAGAGGAAAAAAAAAAAAAAAAACCTGAGCGCATCGATGCAAGACATCGCGAGCCAGGATCAAAAAGTTCTTGGATCGGTTTGTGCAACGACTGAACTCGAGACAAATAAGCACGCTGTGCGGGTTCAGCATGCGGACATTGCGTTCTTTGCTTTAGCTCACTTCTCTTCACCAACTTCCTTTCGCGGCTCATTTTTCACGTACCCGGGTACGTCTCGAAAGAAAGCCTACCGAGATTAACCTAGGTAATCAATACTTCGACACTGCAGTCTTTGAGCTTAAGGTATGTTTGTAGTAGCGCATTAAACAAGAACAGGATTGTCCTTACGTTTCAGTTCAGAAAGTGCCATTACTGCAGTGACGTGGGGACGGCAACACCCGATGTCGTGCGACCACAGTGACTGGAAGGCAGGGACCAAATATGGTTGGCCACGGCCGTTGCTTTTAGGAGCGAGTGCTTCAGCCCATAAAATCACTCCCGCCGCGCAAAAACATGGTTTCGTTTCACAGCATGACGGCATGGCTGGTAACCAGCACGCTAGCGTCGTAGCGTCCGCACATGCCCATGTCTATGATTAAATTTTTTTTAAAAGACGCGAGACTAGAGACGGCAGGAAAAACCATGCAAGACCAGATGAACGATTGATGCAGGGTACTGTGTCGGACGGCTGCTTGAACCACCTAGCTCATGTGTGCTCAATTACGGTACCCGGTTTAGTTTCGGTTTTCAAAGGCGACCAATATTCGTCCTTTGGCGCAGGCTACCGTAGCAGGACGTAGCGGGGTTAGCCCCTTGGCGCAGTTTGGGGCAGCAATCACATCAGTGCTATAGAGAGTGGCTCCAGAGAAAGCCGCGTGAAGGGAACGGTGCGAAAACGAAACTTGCCGAAATAGCGGGAAAGAACGGAAGGAAAGGCGGCATCCCGATTTCTTTCCCACCAGCATGTTCATTCGCCCGCTCCGCCAAGGCTGCCAATTTTCGGTGGCTCTGCTCTGAGGAAAAAGCTGACTTTCTCTCTCCCCGGCGCTTCTTCCACGGCGAGATTTTGTGGCGGGTGGAAGATAACGCGGAACGCAGCGTGCGTCAAATTGACAGGAGCAGGCAGAGACCGAAATCAACGCGTCCTGGGTCATATATACCTTTGGATGCGTACGACGTCGCTCGGATGTGATGCTCTGCAGTGGCTGTTTCGTTAGTCAGGACGGGAAACCGAAGCAAGTGTCCACACGGCCACACCACGTGAGTGGGGACAATGTGGTCAGGACGGGGAACCGAAGCAGGTGCCCACGCGGCCACTCCACATGAGCGCAGCCAACGTAAAGTGAAGCCGTGACAGCCCTCCACGCGCTGCGAGCAGTGCCAGCAAATGCTGGACCAGCGTTACCAGATGGAAAAAAAAATCGAAGTCAGTAGATGGGCCCCATACATATCAGTAGATCACCAAACAACCAGTAGATACTAAAAAGAAAGTAAAAAAAAGACCTTTGTGTATTTCTCATTGGTCTTAATACATAACATAACATCATAAATAATATACTAAGAAACACACGTAGAAATTAGTTGCGTTTTTTGCTTGCAGCATTTTTTTTTTAATTCCAATTTCCAGCGGCCAGGTGTAAAACACATTTTTTTCCAGAAAGCAAAATGATTACCCTTAGTACTTTCCAACGATGTAGGTACACATCGCGACACTGTTAGCACGAACACGACATTGGCGCATTTTCGCATTTTATTTCTAAATAATATTAGCAAGCACGAAATTTCATAGCTTACATTATAGAACTAAATGAGCTCTTTCCGTAGCAATAATAACTTGGATGACATCCCTTGGTTTCAAAGAGAAAAACTGAAAAAACCGGCGATCGCTTGTTCGCGCTAACAGTGTCGCGCTCTGTACATTCCCATGCTGTATTCAACGAGCTTGTATATACTTTTTTTCTTTTTGGAGGGGGCCGGAGGTGTAAAATGGCCGCTATCTGAAGAGTTGCCGCTTCTCATAGTACGTGGACGACACTGATCTCTATGACAATTGTGGACGAAACCAAGCAAAGCCAAAGACGTATCCGTTCCGAAAGTACGCGCGTACGCGCCTGCGTTGGCCATTGAGATCAGTGGCGTTGGCTGCATACGGCTTTGGGTAGATGAATCGAAGGATACGTAGATGCATATGTATAGTTTCGTTCCTAATAATTTCACATGCGTTTGATGGCTAACATGAGAACAGCCCTTCAAAATTGTGCATTGCTGTGCCCTTGAAATGTTTTTTCATTCTGTTGAAAAGAGGTCTCCGACACTCCACTCAACTTTGGCGGGGTGGCGGAGAGCAATATAGAGATCAATGGCGGAGTGTGGCAAAGCCGGCAAAGCAGCTCGACCATGAGCTCGGCGCTCTATGCGGTGCAAGGTGCCGCCATTACTTTCTGGACGTTGCCTGTTTACGCCGTTTACGTATCCTCAATTTTGAGAGCTGTCGAGTAGTAAACTTGTTAGTGAGCGCGTTGGTAATGATATAGGTTTCAGAAAGAGTTATATACGTAAAGACAGGGGACGGGACAACATATCTTTCAACTTTCAACAAACAAATGATTTATTGCCGGACGCTTCTCCTTCGGAGCTCCACTACAGGAGAGGGAAAGTTAAAAGGAGGGAGAAGGGAAAGAGGGGGCAAGACAAGGCCCCGGGAGGAAACTGCGGGAAAGTAAAGCGCAGAGACAGCGGGAAGGAGAGGAAGGAAGGAGGCATCCCAATTTCCCTCTCAGGAGCAGGGACCACTCGCCCGGCCCGTCAAGGACGTCAACTCCGGTCTAAGGAATGTCACCTCCCTCGACAGCCCGCTGTGTTCGCCCCCGCAACGGTCTCCCTGTGTTCTTACACCTCCCCTCATCGCCCTCCCCTCTTTCCCCATCGCCTCCCCAAGTCGAGCTCTGAGCGGCTAGCCGCCCCAGTAAATCTGTAGCTGCAAGTCGAAAGCTGTGTCGTCTGTTTCGTCCTCTTGTGTGTTTCTTTCGTTTTAAGTCAATGGAAATGTTCTTCGGCGCCTCTTTTATGGCGTACGCCTCCACGATCTCGCGCCCGTAGCGGTTCTTGATGGCCCCCTTGGGAGCAGGGGCGGATTTAGAGGGGGGGTCCGGATGTCCTGACCCCCCTCTTGAATTCTGCATGTGTAAAATTTAGGGCGTGAAACGAGGGAGAGGGGGGGGGGGGGTCCTAAACATGTGGTGCGCTGACCAACACCTGACCCCCCCCTCAGGAAATTCCTGCATCCGCCCCTGGTTGGGAGTCCTCGTCGTTTTTTTTTTTCTATTTCTCTCCTATGTTCGCGCAGGTGGCAGTTGAGGCCGCGCCAAGAGGCACGCGGCCCCTTTCGTTCCCTGCGCGGTCGGACGGGTGTATTCCGTGCCCTTCTCGTGCGGGGCAGAGTACATCGTACAGACGGGCCGCTGCCTCAACGACCGCCTGCGCGAACATGAGAGAGAAATAGAAAAAAACGAGGGGGACTCCCAACACCCCATGGTCCATCACCTCAAGGTTTGCGCTCCATGTGCCCCCGAGTTCCCGTCCGCGCGTGTTCTGGGGGCCAACAAGAACCGCTACGGGCGCGAGATCGTGGAGGCGTACCCCATAAAAGAGGCGCCGAAGAACATTTCCTCGGCCTCGCTGTCGCTGTCGGAGAGAGAGGTGACATTCCTTAGACCGGAGTTGCCGTCCTTGGCGGGCCGGGCGAGTGGTCCCTACTCCTGAGAGGGAAATCGGGATGCCTCCTTCCTCCCCCTCCTTCCCGCTGTCTCTGCGCTTTACTTTCCCCGAGTTTTCTCCCGGGGCCTTGTCTTGTCCGCCCCCTTCCCCTTCCCCCTCCTTTTAACTTTCCCTCTCCTGTAGTGGAACTCCGAAGGAGAAGCGTCCGGCAATAAATCATTTGTTTGTTGAAAATTGAAAGATGGTGTTCTCCCGTCCCCTGTCTTTACGAATAGTAAAGTGTTTTTGTTTAAATTCTTAGTTTTGGCGCGGTTTGTTCCTCAAGTATTTTCCGGAATATATTCTGTGCTTAAGCTACACTAGGTGGCGCAAGCTGCCACATATACACCATTAACCATCGGTTCAGCCATCTATCCACCCACAGCCTTTGTTCTGTTTGGCGCGTTACTTGCGGTGGTGACGAATGACGGTTGGCGAGTTTACCGAGTTGACGAGCCAAACGAATGTCAGTATTTTCGCGCCTAGCTGCTCGCGTGGCTTTAGCAGCGTTCGACAATGCCGCCCGTGCGGTGTCTGGTCACCGTGCCTCACCTAAAGGCTGCCAGGTCTTTCAAGCTCGAGGATGGATCGGTAAACTCTTTGAAACATGCGGTGGCTACGTGCCCCGTTCTTGGGAACTCCATCAAACTGTCTTCTGTCAGGTTTCAGGCAAGTGCCTCGTTTCTGTTGACATTTTCCCCGTGCTCGAACTGTAGCAGGTCACAGTAAGCTAAGTAAACGAAGGATAGAGAAGACACCGAACTGCGAAGCTGTGAACCACCTAATCCAGAAAAAAATATCCAAGTGATAAGATTTTAGCCGCCTAAACCACCGTCATCTTCGAATCTATCTTGGAAAGGGTACATGTTATATGAGGAAATGACGTTTTAGCGCGAAGAGTAAAGTATAGACCGCATGAAAGCGATTTGGCGAGTGACGAGGCAAGCGTCGGTGAACCCGCTTCGCTGTCGCTCGGTCACTCGCGCGACGAGGCAATCCGCATGAAAGCAACGGGAGCAAGCGACATTGTAATCCAAAAGGAAGTGTCTAGAGTTCCGTCCAGGCGGAACGATGGTCGCCACTAAAGTAACGTCCAAGTTGGGTCTCGTATAAAGCAAATGTTGAAGGCTAGTTTCTGAAGGAGTAAAGCTATACGCACTCCGGAGTGCGCTTCGGACGGAAATGGCTACACGCACTCTGCGGAGAGCTCATGCCGCTCGGGTCACCCTTTTCGAATGGCACGTGTATCGCTGGGGAGCCCGCCTGCGTTCCCCCCGCTTCGCGGCGACAGTGTGAGGCTGCTAATTACAAAACGTAACCAGTACACGCCGCTTCGCGGCGTCCAGCCGGCAACCCAAGCCCCGCTGTCCCCGATCGCATCAGGAAAGGGAGTCCCGTACCATTTAGTTTTGCGAAGTTTCGTCGGCAACGAATCTTTTAGTGTTCACCGGGGAAAAAAAAAAAAAAAAAAAAAAAAAAAAAAAAAAAAAAAAAGTAAATATTGCCAAATGCTTCGACAAAACAAAATGTTTGAGAAAACGAAACAAAAAGAAAGTGGGACCACCGCGGATCGAACCCACGTCCACTAGCGTACGAAGCTGACACCTTAACCACTACGCTATGCCACCGCTTAAAAGAATGAGTTGTTGTGACTATTCCTTTTATATGAGACTAGCGGAGTGCGTATAGCCATTTCCGTTTGAAGTGCACTCCGGAGTCCGTAGGCTTTATCCTTTCTGAAGTGGTGGTGTAGTGTAGTGGAAAGGTGTCTGCCTTACACGCAGCGGGCCCGGGTTCGAACCGCAGTGTGGGTTTACTTCTTTTTTTTTCTTCTCGATTTTTTTTTGTCGGTATTCACATTTCTCTTTTACAATTATCTCTGAAAGACATGAAGGCATGTTGTCGACGAAACTTCGCTGAACTAAATGGCCGGAGGTGCAATAGGGCATAGCGGGTTTGGGTTGCTGGCTGGGCGGCGTGTACGGAGGGCTAAGTGGGTTAATAGGGAGTTTTCATAGACCGTTTTCGCCGTCCCGCAATGCCCTACGCAGCTTGCTATGATGTCGGAACTCTACAGTCAAGGGCATGGGCGCACAGGCGCAGTAGCGGCTTCTTCGTTGCAGAGGGCTTAGCGGTGAACGAAACATGGTCTACGAAAACTCCCTCTTAGTTTTGTAATTAGCAGCCGCATACTGTCGCCGCGAAGCGGCGTGAATGCAGGGGAGGGGGGGGGGGTGTTAACGAGCCCCCCAATGATACACGCGCCGTCGGAAAAGGGTGACCCAAATGGCACGAGCTCTAGCTCCGCGTTCCAGACGGAACTCTAGTAGCAGCTATCGTTCCGTCTGGAACGCTAGCCACACCGTACGTCCAAATCGCCGCCTTCCCTAGGTTCACAGGGGCGAGAGAGGAGGGTGGGGGAGAAGGTTAGGCATATCCATTTCAGTGCTCTGTCTGGACGTAACGCTAGCCACAGCGTTGGACGTAACGCTAGACACCTCTTTTTTTTTTACTTTTTTTTTGTAGGGCATTTGACAATATTTACAGTAAGCTCTCCACGTCGTGCGTATGGCCATTTCCGGTCAACGTGCACGAGCTCGTGCCTATAGCCTTTACTCTTCATTGAATAGGACTGATTTGAGCCAGCACATATGAGAACTGAAAAGAAGCTAAGTGCCTCTGGAGCTGATTTACTAACTATATAAAAATATTTTTGGGTTAGATATATGTGAAGCTAGTCCATGCGCATACATTTTACAGATGCTGGATTTGGTATTTGAAGAATACATTGACCTTGCTGCGGACGACGAAATACATGACATGGCTAAAATCACTCTCCTGCCCATTGTAACTGTCCCAGAGGGTGGGCCAGGCTCATCTTCCACTCAGGTATTTGGTTTTGCAACAAGTTCAAGGTATATCAAGCATTAATGAAAAAAAAAAAAAAAGAAACGGTTTATTACTAGGAATATAATCACAACTGTGATAGGCTGTGTCTATACGAGCGTTTTTTTAATTTTTTATTCTTTAAAAATTTTTTAATGGTGATAGCTATGTTAATGCCGCCTTCACTGTATGTTTGTGGAGCTTGGTGCCTGATTATGATTGGTAGAAAAGCGTCCTGTCACTTCTGTACGTCCGTCACTATCCAGCAAGTGTGACGCCGGCGCCTCCAGCAGACACGCTGTCTGTCGAGATAGTGGCGAAGGGCATGAAACACGGGCGTCACTTTTTTTTTTGCATCATAATCAGGTGCACCTTTCAGCGTGTGGTTTTGAGTTAACCCTTTAGACGCCGAGGACGAGTCTGACTCGTCCACGGAGTTCGTCCCGCAAATGCCAAGGATGAGTGTGGCTCATCCGCTCGTTTCAGCCCGTGTCTGTAGTGCCAGCGACGAGGCACGCTCGTCCAGTCTATTTTTGTGTTGAGAATAGTTCTCCCGCTAGCCAGCAGGAGAAAAAGCGAACCAGAATTTCGCTAATTTTTGCATCATTTTGAGAATTTATCATGCTCCTCCGGCAACATGGGTTTTTAAAAATGGCGTCTCTTTCGAGTGGTGACATGCATCGCTCGTCTAGTCGGAAGCGCGTTTCTTTAGTTGATGATGAGTTTTCTACAGGGTGAAACAAGGAGACGGCACGCTCTTTAAATCGACCGGAAAATTCGGTTTCTTAACCTATCGCGCTACGGCTTTGTGCAGCGTTGCCCACAGATGGTGCATATTTTTTGTAAAATTTGCAAAGAGCGAACTTACCCGAGGAAAAAGTAAAGAAAGAAAAAGGCTTAGCTCCTATGGAAACACAGCGAAGCCACCGGTCTTCAAACAACACGGCGCCGGTTAGCACGGGACACAAGGGGTGGCGCAAGCGGTCGCGACGCCAACTGCCTCCAACGAACGAGCAGACGACGCCGAGACTCGAGAGCCGGCGTATTTAGCAGACAAGGAACTGCAGTTCTTCGTTGTTACTGCGCCTGTTTTTTGTTTCTGCGACTGTCGCCGCCTGCGGAACGCGCGTCGCTTTTGAGTCGAAAAGATTGTCTGCTAATGACGCTGGCTCTCGACGCCGTATGCTCGTTCGTTGACGGCGTTCGTTGCGCCATCTCTTGTGTCCCGTGCTAACCGGCGCCGTGTTGTTTGAAGACCGGTGGCTTCGCTGCGTTTCCATAGGAGCTAAGCCTTTTTCTTTCTTTACTTTTTCCTCAGGTAAGTTCGCTCTTTGCAAATTTTACAAAAAAAATGCACCATCTGTGGGCAACGTTGCACAAAGTCGTAGCGCGATAGGTTAAGAAACCGAATTTTCCGGTCGATTTAAAGAGCCTGCCGTCTCCTTGTTTCACCCTGTAGTTTGGATGATGATGACTTTGCGCTAGACGATAGTGACGGAAGCGGGGAGTCCGCGGAAGAGTTTGAAAGCTCAAGTGACTCGGACCTTAGCGGCGATGAGGTCCATGCTTCGGCGCGAGACTGGAAAAGTGTGGACACGACAAATCCTCCATGAGCCCCTCCCCGCTTTCCCTTTATTGCCACGCCGGGCGTCACGACACCCGTCGACACGTCGCTCGTCGAACACGACACCCTCAATGCTGTTGGGTACTTGTAACTCTTGCTAAGCCAGACGTAATGACTCTGGTCGTCAATGAGGCAAAGAGGTACCTATGCCGATCAACACTTGGCGACCGCGCTGATCTCAAGGGGATCCCAAATGAAGGCGTGGTAACCGGTGACGGAAGCAGAAATGAGTCTTCTTCACCCTGCTGCTTCTACAGGAAATAGTAGACAAGCCAGTTGTCGAGTGGTATTGGTCAAAGCGCACAGTGATTGAAATCCTAGTGTTTGGGGAGGTGATGAGTAAGAGCAGATTTATTTTGCTCACGAAGTTTTTCCACTTTGCGAATAATGGAGATGATGCTGGTAAAGTGGGGCAAGCTCGTCAAAAACTTCTCAAGATCTGGCCGGTGTTGTTGCTCATGAAGGACCGCTTCAAAGCAAGCGGTCTCGGTTCCCATTTTTAATTTTTTTGCCTCACATGGCCTAAGATTGGATCAATTTTGGTTTTCAGTTGTTAAGCTTTTATACCCATGTCTTACATGCTTGAAATAAGGAAGAATTCTTCTATCAAAGTGTGCTATAAAAAAAATTTGAATTTTGGGTACATTTTTTCGAAAACTGGCTGGCGCTTAAAGGGTTAAGCAAAAAAAGGAAAAATTAACAGATGAATATCTCAAAGCCTGTTGCTTTTTCGGGAACCGTGTCAATTGGGTTGGCTTTTATTAATGGCCACCTTTAAAACTACAATAGACCCTTTCCGGAATTCAGTCTGGCCACTTTGATCACTATCATCATCATCTGAAAACGCCATATGTGCTACACTAATGGCGGACTTCTGTTTACTGATGAAGGAAGTTGAAGATGCTCCTGAGCATCTTCATCTTCAGACCCTCAGGGCTAGGGTGACCAGACGTCCCGTTTTGGCCGGGACAGTCCCGTTTTTCAGGTCCATTTCTGCCGTCCCGTCTTTTTATCCCAATATAGAATCATGTCCCGTTTTCGCAGAAGTACATAGTTTCAAAATTGGCACCAAGCGAGTAGAAGCAAACTGCAACTATGCCTATTCGTTGCAAGTATATTTTACAAAACTAACCGTAGGTACTTTACAATATTTACCCAGAGAGTAAAATTTAGGACTGTTCTTGCCCACAAACACTTTTTCTTTCGCGAGGACGGTAGAAATATTTTTTTTTTAGTTACTGGATATAGCACGGATGTAGAATCATGTAGGAATAGCACGCATGTAGAATTTAATTACATTTTTTCTCAAACTTTAGTACCCCCCCCCCCCCCCCCCCCCCTTTACCGCTGGGATGTCCCGTTTTCTACCTTGAGGAATATGGTCACCCTACTCAGGGCCTGAGGACATTGCAGAGGGGAGTGTGTTACAAGGAGACATCAAAAGCAAACAAACAACAATCAAAAGCAAACAAACGACAATCTTAAGAATGAAAAAAATACATAATAATGAAATGCTAAAAGTTAACACTGTTAAGGCATCGTTTAGAAGCGATGGAATCGGATATGGATGCCACAGATGCTGGAAGGTGATTCCATAAGACCGTCGTCTGAGGTATAAATAAATTATAAAAAGTTGTAGTGTTACATTGAGGAATGCCCATCTGTGGATGGTCAAGAAATTATGATATGTAAAGAGGTGTCAGTAACTTGTCACATAGCAGAGGATTATAGTAATAAATTTTGTGGAACAGACACACTGTTAAGATTTCCACGTAATGCAAGGTTAGGTAGGTTCAAACTTATTTTCATTGATGTTACACTGGCAGTGCAGTGATAATTAGCAAGGATGAAACAAACAGATCTGTTCTGAATTGCTTCAAAAGCCAATATCAACACGTTAATGCCAGGGTTCCCAATTCAAGAGGCATATTCCAGCTTAGAGCGCACGAGCGTTTTGTAAAGAAGCACCTTGAGAGATAAGGGAACTGATGAGAAGTTCAGTGTGATTGTTCGCCTGCACTCAAGCACGTAGACCAAAGTATAGGGTGGTCCAAGTCACCAGGATCGATATAAAATGGATCATAGAAATCGACACCTGCACGTAGCAATCTAGACTTTTTGTCAGAGGTGTATTTCACATGTCGCTTTCCTTTTGTAAAATTAGAAAGCGTAGCTCTCTTTCTGTAAAAAATAAGGCCAAGAAACTTGCCAGGGTCTACGGCGGACAGTGACGCAGACGACAGGGGTCTAGTAGCAAGGTGTGTTTGGCGTTCGTATAGATTGATGGGCTACCTCCTTACTGCGACGGCTTGCGACCAAGGTTTTATAAAATGAAGATAATCTTTTTCAAATGTACCTTCGGTTAAAAAATAAATGCGGGCAATAAAAGCAGAACTTAAAGTAAAAAAAAATGTGTCTGCATAACGACAGCGCTTTTGCTGCCAACGTGTCGTCTGCTAGCTTTAGCTGGTCGGCTGCACCGTCGGACGCTGCTCCCGATGCCATCTATGAATACGATCGCCAAACACGCCCTGCTACTGGGCTTGGTCGTCTGGGTCGTTGCCTGCCGTTAACCCTGGCAATTTTCTTGGTCCTATTTTTTGTAATTTTACAAAAAAAAAATTGACCCGTGAAATAGATCTTTGACGAAAGGTTTAGATTGCTACGTGCAGGCGCCTGTTTTTATGGTCCATTTTAGATCGATCCTGGTGACTTGGACCACCCTATATATAGAGTATTGTATCGGGCACATAGGGTTTTGTCGAGGGGGGGACCGCCCATGTCAAAATGGCATAGATGGGGGAGGGGGAGCGGGCAGGGAGAGGAGGTCCCAGCAAAACTGAGGATTTGGGGCTATGTGCTCGTATTGTATATGCAAGTACAGTTGCTGGTGGTGTGAGCTGGAATATGCAAGCGGTGACCGGGCTGCGCAGACCACATAGCCGCAGCAAGTGACTGGCCACAGCCTGGTCGTCACTCATGCTTTCCTGCTTATATCGCTTGCTAATGTATGTATCGAGGTCCTCGTTAGATAAACTTTGTTTCGTGTTAGTACTGGATACCAGAGCAGTTTGAGTGTTGCATTAGAAGGAGGGGGCCAGTCAGGGCCATGTCTTTTTCAAAGTGATATGGCTTGCATGCTCTACTGGACGGTGTTGCACTGTACTCCGCATATTATTCTTAGCATTGAACAGCATCTCTGTTTGACACTATGTGAAATTGCATGCTGTGCATGTTTGCATCTACCGAAGAGCTTAAGCTTCAAATTCGGGCTCAGATTATGAGCCACGAACCAAGAATACGGTGCCGAATTTCTGTATTATTGAAGACGAGCGTATTGGTGAAGGTTCATATCCACACACGAAAGGATAAGAAACGGAAGGTGGACAGGGCCGAAATAGGACCTCTGGAAAGATATCTTGGTTTGTTCTTGTCCACTGCGTTTTTTATTCTTTCATGTGTGCATATGAAAATTTTGTACATTACGATTTATACTGAATTCCTGAAACGGCGAGCATCTAGCGGCATTTATTAGTAATAAATACACCAAACCTTACTTATAGCATGTAAAGTACAAACCGTTATATCATTAAAACAGCCTGCTGGGGTCCTTAACACAAATCCAGTAACTTTACACTGCAGGGATTTCCTTTCGTTTTAGGAGGAGGCTTCATTGGAGACGGTGCGCACTGAAAACTGTGAAACCGCCCAAAGAGAGAGCTTGCCAGATGAAACTTCTCCAGATGACTCCTCTCCAGATGTACCATTGGTAGGCATCGAGCCCTTTGAGCTGTAAGTGTGTTTTAATGGTTGCGACTATAGAGGCTATGTTGTGATACAAGGCAGCCTCGAAATGCTTCTATTCCGCTGTCACTATAGAACGGCGGACAAAGTGGCATCAATGGAAACGCTCATACCAGCTGCACTAGCGTCTCACCGGGTGCCTACCGTACATGTGCGCTTTGCTTAGGGTGGTGACATCTAGCCATTTTGGTTCGCGTCTTTTTATTTATTGTTTGCTTGGATCACATGTCGGCTAGTAGCTTTACCTGCGCGGTGCCGTTTTGTTTCATCTACTTCTTTGACGCATCTCACGTACATGGACCATTGTGTTCTGCTGCGTTCCCTGGGCAATGGAGGAACCAGGCACGTATCCAGGGGGGCCCATGGGGCCCGGCCCCCTCCCCCCCCCAATATCTTCCATTTTGCTGGGGCCTCCTCTCCCTCCTCCCCCTCATACAGCATTTGGCCTCTGCCCCCCCCCCCCCCCTCCCTCCCTCCCTCCCTCCCTCCCTCTTCCGAAACAAGACCCTGGCTAAGTGCCTGGGAGGAACACGGGCGCTTCACAAGACTGATACACGCATGTGTCCTCACCACATGCAGTTTATTCAGGGAACACAGAGCTGATAGCTCAGGTGGTAAAGCACTTGGCTCACACACAGTAGGCCCATAGTTCGATCCCTGGCAGCGGCAAAGTGTAACAAATGTTTTAGAGCATTCATCAATATCGACGACGGTTTCTCTACACCATCATTTCAAAGGGGGGTGAAGAGCCCATAACAGCTATCGCTTTAAAATGAGGTTGAGAAAAAGCATGTGAGACGCCTATAACATATTTATTGTATTTCTGTTTTTTTGTTTTTTTTTTATATGCTTCTACATAGCAACATTTTTTTTCTTTTTTTTTTTTAATAATCATTTTCTTATAAAATAATTGCACTATTTTTAGGCCTTCGTGTTCAGACGACGATGGGAACACCTTCATTTTCCCCAAGCTTGGAGCTCTCCATGATACGATCATCTCTGGCAAACCTCTGACATCTTCATCATTCCGAAAGATTGTGGAGCTCCTCTTTCGTGCAATGGTGAACATAACAGTGTAAGTAAGGTGGTCTCAAAATTCGGACTTATTCCTAGCTTCATCATTTCCAGTTCCTTTCATGGGTGACTTCTTTGTGGGCACCGGTCAACCTTTGTCTTGCTGTATCTTTCTGTATCCAGCTAAACCTATGTCTTAAATCACAGTATCGAAGCAGGTGAAACTGATTTTTGCAATATATTTGAAGTGGGTTTAATCCCTCTAACCCTCCTTGTATACAAAAAAAAAAAAGTAATTCGGAAAAAAAGCTAGGTTGCTTCTTTCTGGTCCTTATCTTGCCAAATTTTGTGCAGTGGTAAACATAGTAGATTGATGGCTTATTTGCGTTGTTTCACAAGTGCATCTTTGTGCTGAATTTTAGGCTTCTTGGTCGAGACCGCTGCGCCAAAAATGAAATTAGTCAGTTCAGGCTAGAGAAATGTTTGGTTAGTTAGGTCACTTCTTGTCATTTGCTAGAAGCAATCCATGCCCTCGCTGTATTTACAGGTGTATGTGTTGCTGGTGTGTAAAATTAATGGAAGCTTTAAGTAACTTGCTCGTTTTCCTTCAATAGGACAACATGTCTCTTTGTCGAAATTCATATTACAAGAATTTGCTAAGCGGAAAATGTGTAGATATTCCTTTTTTTTTTAAAATATCTGAAAATTTGGTGCGACTAGTTATAATCGATTGGGGGTCATTGGCATGTTTAAAACATTGATGCACTGTGTACCATCTGAACAATACCTTGCATCTTCCTCGCGTAGGCTCAGTCTGCATACGGGACCTATTGATTCACAATGTGGGTTATAATATTAGAGATTGTTGAGCCATAAGAATGGGCACGACTTTTCTGCAGGTTCCCATCTCAGCACTTTTACTCCAAGGTCACTCAGCTACTAACTGACAAGTACCCTCAGCTCCAAGATGTTATAGGAACTGGATCAGTAAGCACATTTCTTTTGCACGTTTATAATAATAGCTGCGATCAATTCTTAGCATTGGTGCTTCTATACATCTTTCCAAAAAACGCTCCTAGGCCGCCGCCATGTTGCTGATGCTGATGCAGCTGGCCCTCTATCAGCTAGAAATTTTCTGCCACCCTCTTGGACTGTGAACACCCGCTCAGTGCGGTTCTCTACCTGTTTTGGCGGTTTTGCATTCAACGTTTTCTCGCCCCTCTTGAAAGTTCCCACTTAATTTTTTTTATGAGTGCTGCATACCCTTTCTGTGTTATCTTCCATTGTGATATATAAGACTGGTAAGTGCCTGCCATTCAAGCTTTTCTGCTCGACATTCATGGGAAACGAAGGAAGTGATGGACGTCGAACTGCCCTCAACGCGATTTTGCAAACATTCTTCTCCCCCCTCCCAGAGATAATCCGCATAGAATCCTCGGTCATCTCCAAAAATAGTTGTCTGGGTTGGGGTGGGAAACGGGTCAGTCGCGTTTGTTCCTTTACCTTGGTGCTTTAGTGAAAAAGAAAGCTCTCCCCAGCTCAAAGGTGAAAAGAGTATAGCTGGACGCCATAATTTCATTCCTTGGCGCAGGAACGATTCCCTTGGTAGGCTCCCAATAACTGATATCGCAGCAAAAATGCTATGGCTGGACCTAAATTTAAATTTAGATAGTTGTTCAAGCTGTGGTATTTCTTTATTTTACAGGACTCGTGGAGAGTAGCACTGCGGTACAAGTTCAAAAATGAAAGACGTCGCCTTTCAGACGACGTCCGGGTTGCTGAAAACCGTGCAAAATTTGGATCAAAAAGACCAAATGATGGAGGTGCAGCCACACAGCTGAAGCGGCAAAAAAAGATTAAGCTGGTGAGGGGCAATGTTTAAACTTTCCGGGATAAACTTGGAAGATCAAAAATTGCTGATGTGGTTCGGATGCGGATATCGTGTCTGCATAGTGGATGATCAAATTGTTATCTACGCATGGTTTTCTTTCTACTCATCAGTGTCTGCCTTAGAAATCAACGAAACGCTTCCATCAATCAGATAACGCGAATCGGGAAAACTACAATGGTTTATCCCGTCTCCGCCAGTAGGTGGAAGCATGAAATGCTTTCGAGTGGAAAGGATTCGGAAAGATGATGATGGCAGGGAGCTCGATTTATTCCGATTCGATGGTTGGCACTCACTGGAAGCTCACCTGAGATTGGAGCTCACCTGGAAGCTCTCAAGATCCCAGGCGAGCTTCCATTAAGTGTCAATCAGTGATTTGGAACCAGTGGAGCCTCCTGCAATCGTCCTTCTTCTTGGGTCCTTGTCTCACAATGTCCATAAGATCTGAGAACATGCAGCACTCTAATGAGCAGAAAGAGTACTACCCTTGTCGCACTATGGTTTTCGAGATCACTGGCACGTAAAGCTCCTTGCACATCGCCAAAGAGCTTTGCACATGAGCAATCTTCAAGACTTCGTTAACACTACAATTTCTTCCTGTTGTGCGACGGCCATGTTCAGTAGCATACTTGAAAACCTTAATCTTCAAACCGCATGTTAGCTAATGTATGAAACCATCGTGGAAACCCCACGATCGTGCTGTTGGGGCAACCATAAGCTATAGACATTTGCAGAAAAAGCTCTCTGGCCGCCGCCATTTTGCGAACCAAGCGGCCCCTACCAGCCATAAATTTCTGCCACCTGCCTGAGCTGTGGAAACCCGGTCAGCATGACTCCCCAGCTGCATTGTGCATTCAGAGTTCGCCAACTTTTCTTGGAAATTTTTACTTTATTTGCCTGTTTAGGATGCTTACCCTTTGTGTGCTATCATGCACTGTGAGAACCAGGGAATACCAGGGCTCATAGCCTGCTCGGCCTTCGCAGGAAACAAACGAAGAGAGTGAACGTCAAGCAACTCGCGAGTCGTGACGGAGGCAGTTCGACATTCTTGAAGGATTATTTCCGTTGAGATAATCTCCAGAAAGCCTTCCCGACTTGTGTTCCGAGTCTTCGCGAAAAATAGCTGATAGGGTCGGGTCCGGAGTGTTTGCTTTGAAGCTGTGCAAAAAAGCAGCTCTATTCTACATGTGCCCAAAACACGCCGGATTCCGTCTGATCGTCGTGAAGTTACTATCGTCGACACTGTTTATTGGATATGCTGTGTTATTTGAGACCTTTCTCAAATCCTGTTCGGATAACGCGGCATTGTGGGGTACGTACAATATATGTTGTTCGATTGATGAGACTCGTTGAATTTCATTTTGTGGGCGAGTAAATCTATGCAGTTTGAATATCCTGTGCGGTCAAATATTTTTGACGGTTAAGATCTTTGTAGATTGACAAGGCGGAGTGTATGGTGCCGTAAAAAGACCAACATAAAATAAAACAAACATCCCAGTTGCATTCGTTCTGTCGCTCACGGACTCACCAAAACAGCTTTCGTTGCTTTGTTTTTGTTCTCAAAAATAGTACAGAGCATTCTTAAAAACCCCGAGAAATTCTATTTGCCATAGAATACAAAAGAAAAATAGAACACGGCAATTTAGCCTCCACCAGCGTCCGAAAGTGTGCCCACGCAGGCTGCCACAGCCCACTGACGAGAAACTCCACAGCTCAGCGCAGTCTGGCAACACTGACTTATCCTCTCAAAACCAGGGATGCCTGCTGTAAATCGCTTCGTTCGAGACTGCCGCTTGAAAGGTCTATAGGCAACTTTCAAAAATCCTGCCATGCAACATTGCATGCGTTGCACGCTCGGAACAGTTGGCTGCGAAGCTGAGTGACATGGTTTCAGTCGAACAGGCGTTGTCTCTGCTTGCGCGACGAAACATGTGCAATCGCAAGTATGCTGAAGTTTCTCTCGCGTAAAACATCAACCAAGGCACCTGCAATTTTTTTGCTTAAAACCTGGCATGCTCGAAACCAATAAAATAGTGGCCAGTGTTTTTTTAATTGCTTGGCGACATTTATGGTATTTTACACTTGTGGGATGTCTCAGTTGTGAAAATGAAGTAGCGAGTTCCATTATGACACAATAATCATGGCAAATATCTGAAGCCGGAACTAAATGGCCCGCTAGTACCCGGAATTCATTTCTTGGCATCTCCTCACCAGGGGCCGCCCCGATTCGGAAAAAAGCTTATTGCAAAATGGCGGAAGGTTCATTTCTTCCCACGACCCCGGCTTGGCTTGGCCACCTGGAGATGGAGGTCGTTCCTTCCCATGATCGTCTAGCTGTTTATCGCTCAAAGTGGCGCATAAAAAAATTTGAACGTTCCCACCTCGTGATACAAAGTTGGGGGTGCATTTATTGAGCAAGGTGCAAGGAAATATGTTATATATTTTTATCTGGACTGTTTCCTTTTTTATATTGTGTGTTTTCTACTGTTTGTGCTCCCGTAGGGTAATGCCTTGGGCAATGTTAGGTCAAATGATTGAATTCAATTTTACCTTATCAGAAATTTTGGCATGCTAAGAGCATCAAGCACTAAAAAGGTAGTCAGTTGTTGTCCTTCTGTTAATGAATATTCATGTCTAAATCGCGCCCTTTCGATCATGCCTCTCAAGAACATCACTGCTTCGGCTTTGGCTGGAGAGGACGAAGCCAGCCTGATCGCCCATGAGGAATGGCTTATACGAGAAGGACGAAAGGCAGCTCCTGATGAAAAAGGAATCCATGAAAGGATGACTCTCACTGCGAGGAAGAGGCTCTCTGACATGGCACAAATGGGCATTGATGCTGTTAGGACAAGGTACCCATACCTGATGGACTCTCAGCGAGTGAGTCATTGCTGCTACTCTTCCGCTTTATTGAATACGAAGGTGTTGTTGACTTTTTTTTTGTACTCTTGTTTGAATACAGAAACTCTTATTGAAGGGACACTGACAGGGTGTTTATGCCCGCCGATGTTTTTAGTTGTACATGGCTTATGAGAACCCAACTGCCCAGAACAGAATTTGAGGCTCAAAATTCAGTTTCTTTCCGCCCGAGGACCGCCACGAGAACTGGCCGGTTCGAGTTGCGCTCTCTCTCTTTGTGATCACGGGCTGTTTTCTAAGGTTTAGACACAACCACCAAATTTAATCAAAGTCGTGGGTCATTGAAGGCACACAGTCAATATTAAAAATAGCAAAAAGATGAAACCCTTTTTTTGTGACTTCTAAAAAGCTGTTAATAAGATTATTGAGGAAAAAAAAAGTTGCACAGAGAACCGGACGCATTCTGTGCATTTCCTCGTTCAATAGCCCTTTTGCGGAATCCCCCAAGCGCCCTGGCCCGCGCGCGAGGAATTGTGGGAGAGACTGTCCCTGGCCTGGCCACTCTGCCTTGAGATCGCATTGCCTCGTCGCTCGTCTCCTCATAATCTTGTTTTTTGATTTCATTACCTATTTTTATATGTTCAAGTGTATATTTATTGGTTCTAAGTGTTTCTATTTTCTTCTGTGCGCAGTATTTTTTGCATATATATAGTTTTTGTCTTTATTATGCCTTTTTCGACGGGAGTGCTGACGAACAACAGGCCGCTTCGCGTGTCGTTCTCCGGGTGAGTGTTATCGTTGCTACTGGTTCCTGTCGTGCTGTTAGCTGTTCATTTTGGTTCACTTGACCCGCGTGCAGTCGTGAGGAGCCGTTTATGAACACCCACGCAGATGTCATAGGGGTAGGCAGACTCTAAATCAAGAATTGCGACGCAAGAGCAGAGTGCGCTGTGATTTAGCCGCCCGCGCCTGCTCCGTTGACTCGCAGTGCAGCGTATGCCTTCGGGTGCCGCTTGCTTGACCAAGATACAGCAAGCTGCTTTGTCGCTGCGAACCATTTGTCCGAATGTTTGCAAAGCTGAGGCATATGCAACGCTGTGGCGTTTGACAACTGCGCGCTGCGGTGCGATCCCTTTGCAAATGCCGACGGCTCAATGTCGCGGCTTGAATGTGCCTATGGCATGCCTTCATAATCTTTCTTTTAAGCGGTTGTCATTTGCCAACGCCCTTTTTCAAGTGCAGAGATAAGTTGCCGCGAATCATTTGTCCGAATGCCTGCAAAGCCGTAGCACCGTTTGTCATATCCAACGCTGCGGTGCCTGACAAACTGCGCTCAGCGGCGCGAGCCCTTCGCAAGCGCCGGGCGGCCCAACATCGCGGCTTGTGTGCGCTTATAGTATGCCTTCTTAAACTACTTGCTAAGCGGTTGTCAGTTAAAAGCACCCCTTTTCAAGTGCAGAGGTGTGCTGTCTCCCAGGCAGTCATCTTGAAACTCGTAGTTCCTTCGATAATTTTATTTCTCTAGTCAAGATGTCAGCTCAAGGTATTTTATTTCTTTAGGTCACCTTCAGCAGTAACATGCCCTCATAGTACAGTTTGCTGTGTGCCAGGCTGTACAAACAGTACTGCCGGCGGACGGCATGTTTCCTGGCACTGCTTCCCAAAAGACAGCGTCCTGCGAAGCGTTTGGGTGAAGACAACTGCGTGCAGTTGTGAGGCGCTGCAAAGTTGGACATGCCGAACAGTGTTACGGTTTCGCAGGCATTCAGACAAATGATTCGTGACAGCAAAGCGGCGGGCTGTATCTTACTCAAGTAAGCGGTATTGAAGGCACATGCTACAGTGCCAGTCAACTAAGCGACGCGAGAGCCGAGTGCGATTGAGCCACCTGCACTCGCTTTGTTGACTCGCACCGCACTCGGCTCTCGCGTCGTGATTGTTGATTCAGAGCTCTGCCTACCCCTATGACATGGGTGCGGGTGTTCATAAACGGCTCCTCTCGACTACACCTGGGTCAAATGAACCAAAAATGAACAGCTAACAGCACGATAGGAATCAGTAGCAATGGTAGTACTCACCCGCGGAACGACACGCGAAGCGGCGTGTGCAGAAGAGAATAGAAACATTTATAAGCAATAAAAAATACAGTGGTACAGATAAAAATAGGTAATGGAAATGAAAAACCGGATTAAGAGGAGACAGGCGACAAGGCAATGCGATTTCAAGGCAGAGCAGCCAAGCGAGGGAGCCTGTTGAGTGTTAGCAACATCCTAGCTAATGCAGCGACCAACGACTTAGTTGGAAGCTATGGTTCACAGGCCAGGTTTGGAGATCCTATCAACTCTATGCCATACTGCATGAAAAGGACTCGAGGGTCCGAAAGAAAAGAGTAAGAGATTGCATGTGAAGAAGAAGGTTTGATATTTCATCAGCGTGATGTCTGTAGTACCAATTATTTCTCTGCACTCTTGCAAGACTTGCTTGGCAAGTCAATAGACATATTAAGAACTTCAGAAGCAAAGGGAAGTTAAAAAAAATAATGTTACTAAAAAAAGAAACTTGCGTATTGTGTGTTCGTATGTTTGTTCCTAAAGCCCTTCCCACACCTTCAAGTTGTGGTAAATGGGGGATTCGGCCAACTCGCTGAAAGCCGACTCATCGACAGTCAATTCGTAGTATAGGCCAATTTGTTGTAGGACAATTCATCAAAAGGCAACTTGTCGAAAGGCAACCTGGGACTGTCATTTAACCCATTCGAGGCCGATTCCTCGAATGGGTTAAATGACGGTCTCAGGTAAAAGTTCATGGTTCCTTGTTATCTTTTGATCTAAATTTTTATTTGTGTTTGGACTAGGGACAGCGGTCTTTTTAGGTTTTAGGACAGTACCTTGAGACAAGTTTAGAAATGTAAATTTCGGGATTGTCCTTTTGCTAGTTTTCTTTATTACTTTTTGTAATGAGCCGCTGCGGACTGTTGCCGCGAAGCAGCGTGGACGGGTAGGCCAAGCAAACTCACACGTGCCACAGTGATGCACACGCGACGTAGTAACTGTCCCCCACTGCACCGTGAAAGTGGAGAAAGCTGCAAGTTGTTATCTTCGACAAGAAAGAGCGCACTGGATGTTTATTACGATACGGCGATATTACGCATTACTATAGGGCAGGATTTGCTTTAACATTTCAGGACAAAATTATATATTATGGCTTTGAAACAGCGGCGACCAGTTGGCGTCTTCGACTAATTTTTCTTCGACGATTTGCCTTATGACGATTCGGCCTATTCGACAAATGGGCTGCTGACGAGTTTACCGTCGATGAGTTGGCTTTCGGTGAGTTGGCCTAGACTCGGTAAATGGTAGTGCCAGTAAAATCTGAATTTAGGCGTTGTTTCTTGTTTCCCTTATTTAAATTAATGAACAAGTGCCAATTTCTTTGTAAATTTTATTAAAGAAATGCCGTGGCATATTTCCTGAACTTTCAATTTTTATATTTTCTTTTGTGAAGTTCGCTAAAGATTTCGAGAGGCTCACGAAGATGAACCTGGCCGACAAAGTCGCAAAAGGGATTGACAAGATCGTTCTGTTGGCCACAAAGAAGGCGATCGACTGCCAGGAGCATGTCCTACTTACACTGCAAGCAGCACCGCACATGGATCTGGGGAGGCTCAGGACACGGCGTGAGTACAGTAAGAAAACCGCTGCGCAAGGGAGGCTTTTCGACCAAGCGATAAAATACCACCATTCAATGCATGCATGGGAAAAGATAGTAAAAAAACAAACAAAAAACTTTCAGTCTTTCTCTTTTGTTGAGGAAGGAAGACTAGCGGAGCTGCACTATGGTGGGAATGAAGTAATGGCCGATCGCTAGTCGGCAAGCCAGAGTGGAAAGGTTGCGGCCATCTATGATGGTTGCTGCCGTCTCCTATATATGGCGGTAGCTGTCCAGAGTTCTGTGTCATCGGGTTATTTGAGGACTGACACGACCCTGGGGAAACTAGCCGCTAACAGCTCCACTGTAAAAAAAATAACCGAGTTTATGTGTGCAACCACGTTGGCGCATTGCTCGGCTGAGAAGTAAGCGAAACTATAGCTTTCAAAATGCGGCCTTTAGGGTGGGCTGCTTTGTGCTGGCCTCCCCTGTATTGAAAGATGGAACGTGACTGGCACTCTCGCTATCAGCGCGCTCGGAAACAATAGTGCTACGTGCTGCAATTTTGCCGCTCTGGTCGTTGGTCGCTCGTGCTAATCTTTTTCTGCTGCAGCTGTACATGCGCAGCGCCTTGGCAGAGGAGAACCCTCTGCCAAGGTGCAGGCAGCGTGGTGGAGGGCCGTAGAGGACAGACATTTGGGCTGCACACCAGTGTATGGGGAATAACTTTGGGAGTTTGTATCATACTCCCAAGGTTATTTCCCCGTGGTGATTTGAATTGTTTCATACCATTTGGTGACATGTCCAATGGCTTATCTATAATATTATGTTGCACCCATTTAGGTCGTTCTGGTGTGTTGCCTTCTTTTCTTTTAGTGGGGACAGGCTTGGCCAAGTGAACATCTTAGTATTCGTCTGAAGTTCCCTCATTGTCACTGATCCTACTGGAAGATAAGCAGAACAATGCATACATTTTTTTTCTGAAACCGTCCAGGACACGTGCAACGAAGAGTACAAAAATGTATTTGATATCTTGCACAAATGTTGTTGGTGTTTTTCAGACATCCTGACTGTTGCAACTCTGCGCATTTTGGCACTGAACGTCAAGGAGTCAACATCACTGCCCCTAATGTTCGTGCAAGAAGATGTAAGTTATTTCACTATATTTTTGCGAAAGTTGATGCTAGCAAGAACAAAGTTCCAGCCTACCTTCAATGTAGCAGGGTTAAATAAATGCTAACTAAAGAGGTTTTTTTGTTGTTTTTTGTGGGTAGAGTGTTCGTTTTTTTTTTGTTTTCACGGTATGTTTTTTCATAGTGCCCGCAGGGGCTAGAATTGGAGCCTTCTGAATACATATTAGTGACCATGTTGATGTCAAAGGAAACAAACATGTGAAATGCACATGAATACAAGTCCTGAAAAACCAATGAAGGCTGGAAGGCGGCAGGCATGCTGATCTTTCTAGGGTTTTCAATACAGAGACAGTGTAGCGTGTTAACTGGCTTCCAACAGTTCAATAGCAGCTTGTTCACCTGGCCCCTTTTGTTAATGGGGTGTCCCAAACATTAGGCCCACCAGGCCCCAAATACTTCTGTAACGCTCAAGAGATAATGGCCACCTAAATTACAGAGATATAAAGTAAAAATTTGAGGCGAACCAAGTTTCGGGTACAATGGCTGAAACGCCAAAAACCTAAACGTTGAGCATGGCTTCCAAAAACGTTGAGCATGGCTTCCAAAACACAGCCATGCTCAACGTGCCTCATGCTGGATTTTCACTGCTCCGGTTGGTGTTCGGACGGGAGAGATATGGCCAGCGACTGCACATAAAATGTAAATGTAGCTCGTGAAAATTAATTTATACAACTACATACGAGACATTGTTATGTTTGCTGTTTTCTGGAACCTTCATCTTTGGGTTTTTTCAGTGTAGAGGAGGAAGCAAAAAAATTAACATTGGCCAACGAACAAATAATAGCATGTACCGTTATGGTCAGTCGGTAGCCCTGTACGGTTCATAAATGCGGGGTGGCGAGGTAAGCAGGGTGCGTCCGTGGCAGACATAGATTGTAGCACCTGAGCTGCCTGCCTTCTGTCGGTGTTTGCCCCCTTTTTTCTCCTTGAAACTTGTCTGCCCTTGGCTATGTTCGCTGATACCGATAAGAACCCATTATTGCACCCAATGAGCGCTGACGACCAATGACACTGCCTGACAAAGCGCGTCTGCGCAAACATCCCTGCTTTTTGTCTTCTCTTCCTTCTGCACGTATTGTTTCTCATCTGTGCATTTGTTGGTGTCCTCTTATCCAAACAATAACCTCAAATGTACACAGGAAGGCTGCTGTCCGCATAAAGAAACCAGGCCACTGTAAAAGTGAGATGTGATAGCAAAGCAAAAAATCACTCTCATGGTGAAAACGAACCAGTGATGCGTCAGATTTTTGGCGTGACTTTTATTTTTTTTATCTCCAGACCTGTACTCATTTCCAACAATAAATAAGTCTAGCAGCGTATCATAATGCATCGGAAAAGTATCTCACTATTGAAATGCAAATAGGTTTCACAAATGCATCTTCATACTGAAATAGAGATACTAAAATATATCTCTAAGCTTATATCGCAATATTTTCATGTCGTGATGTTTCCCCAATTGTAATTCCTCATTCATTTTACATTGTTGCAGATGCCGGTTACTTATTTAAACATAAGCAATGCTCATGGCCTGAACTGGAGTGAATAATAGCAGTTGACAAGAGCAAACATGTTTTGGCCTTCTACATTAAAATATGTTGTGCCTTTTCCTTTTACCTAACGCAGGATGAAAACATCCCACCGACACCGTGTGTCCTGTACAGCGGGCAAGACTTAGAGGATGCAGACTTCTTTCACCTGGTTGTTGATCGTGAGAGGTTGTTCTCCGTTCCAAATGCCGAGGAGGGGCTGTGTATGTTGTTGGCAGCCTATTGGTTGTTCAGTATACAATATGAACGGAAGGCCTTCAACATGCTCGTCACTCTGGAGAGGCTTTTTCTCGGCATGAGCCACACAACTCCAAGGGCAGTGGTAATTAAATTTTTAAACAAAGTTTGCAGGCACGTGCATGGTTGAAGCAATGATTTGTGCTTCAACCACACGCGCATTAACTGCTTCGTTACGGTTCAGTTTGAGCTTTTTTTTTTTTTTTTTTTTTTTTTTTTTACGGTGTTAGTTTGCAGGCTCTGTAAAAATGGATGTCCACCCACGGGACAGTGGGGCTTTACAGTTCAAGTAAGGAAAATGAACACACATTTTATTCAACATTTTATAAGTTAATTTTTACAAAATAGGTTTTGGGAAGAATAGCAAAACTGGAGTGATACCGGCAGAGAAATGAGGCTCATTTATTGGTACGAAAATCAAAGAAGCAGTGCCAGTCAGTTTCAGTGCAGAGGTAGATTTCACAGGACGTGCAATGGTGCTGAGTTTTCTTTGAGGAGCCAGGGTTCCTGCACTGTGTAGCATTCTTGACGTCTTCTTTCTTTGGCACGTGAAGTGCCTGCGCCGTCTGGACTGGCGAGTTCGGCAGTGGCTTGACTCTCTTGCGCGGAACCTGTGGCACCGCACAAACTTTCTAAAATGGCATCAGCCTGACTTGTTAGTCCTGAAAATCGAGCACAATCAATCAAACCAATTGTTTTCACTTCGCGAGTGTTTCAGATTGGTGCGAGCAAAACATGATCATCGCGAAATTCGTGTCATAAGTTTTGGGTCCCAGCGTCCACCCACGTAGACAATTTGACAAGGGACTACTATAACCCTTGCTAATACTGTTGAAAATATTAAGCATTAGTGACCATCTGTGAACTTTCAAGAACTCTAGAAATATAAATTAACACAGCCTCCGTTTGTGTAAATCACATAAACTGATTACATACCTTGGCGTCGCCCGTAGAACATGCGAGTGCTGCAGGTCGCCATTTTTAACAGCAAGCAACAAGTTTTCAGTGCTGTTTGCTCAACACTCCTCCAGATGGCAGCACAGACTACGTCCATGACGGTGGACAGGCGTCCTTTTCTGTGTGCAACGAAGTTTTTTTTTTTTTTCTTCTTCTTACAATTCAAAACCCAATGTTTACACTGGTGGACGCAGGGTCTCAGGAGGTTATACAGGGTGTTTCACGAAAGGTGGACAAATTCAATATTGCAAAAACTGCTCGAAGGCTTGTGTCGTTTTGGCCCTGGGCTCGAGGCCTATTTAGGAAAACTTTTGAAGTCCGGGATAATTAGATTGTTAATTATTTTTGAGTAACTGACTTTTTAGTATTGTGTTTTAGGTTATGGTTTCAATTAGAAAATTGCTCAGCATCATTGAAAAACACTAGATCAACATATTACACAACAATAGAAGGCACGTGCAGCATCTTACGACTTTCTGAAAAACCTCACAAATGGGATAGGTTTTTAAGTTTCGGTTTGCTATTGGAGCGCATCTCGACCTCGACGGCACCATGCCCCGTGGAGAAATGGTGCAACCAGCCTCTGCTGCGTTGCGCAAGGACATCGCAGCAGAGGTTGCTTGCGCCATTTCTCCATGGGGCGCGGTGCAATCGGGGCCGAGATGTGCTCCAATTGCAAAACGAAACTTAAAAACCCGTCGAATTTGTACTGTTTTTCAGAAAGCCGTAAAATGCTGTGCACGCCTTCTGTTGTTGTGCAATATGTTGATCTAGTGTTTTTCAATGATGCTGAGCAATTTTCTAATTAAAACCATAACCTAAAACACAATATTAAAAAGTTAGTTACTCAAAAATAATTAACAATCTAATTATCCCGGACTTTAATCATTTTCCTAACTAGGCTCCTCGTCCAGGACCAGAATGACACAAGCCTTTTTTTTGTTGCGACCCATAGTTTTCGCAATATCGAATTTGTCCACTTTTCGTGAAACACCCTCTATGTGGATATTGCACTTTTCGCGACAGTATTATCAGGTTAATTTTTATTTTGCTTACAGAACAAATGATAGAATGTTTTATGGAGGCATGTTTTCTTTTTCTGTCTTTAAATGTATAACTTATGCCGACCTCCTGTAGGTGAGGTATAATTTATCTGTACGGGGGTTCCTCATTCCTAGTCACTTTCCAAAACTTTATAATTTTCTTTGTACTTGAGATTTCTGTGATATTTTTCATTACATGTTGGCAGATAGCATTGTTTATGTCAAGGAATGGCATACATTGTATTTTTTTTTTCGTTTGTCTTTTAGGGCACAATAAATGTTCAATTTTACACATTCTAATTGATGTCATAATGAGCTTCACTTACTGAAATACTGCTGTGGTTCAGTCAAGGGCTAGACCGCCATGCTTCCAATTAGTAAATAGATATGCTTAAGGAGATGAGTGAAGCGTGTTTCCTGCAATCCTCTGAGACAAAACTTGGCACTTGATCTCCAAACAGGAAAGCTCCACATGCTTCATTTGTAAAAGCCCATTATGTTTATAACTATGATTTAGCCGTGCAGTACGATGCTTGGGGCCACTGCTTGCTCACTTGAAGTTCGAGAAAGGGCGGCACCGGAAGCACTACCAGTTGCCCTCAGGCTTATGATGTGGCTTGCAAGTAGCTCTTTTGTATTACTTCATGAAGTGAGTTGCGTTCAATGTGACTCGTTCTTTCTTTATCATGTGCCTTGTATGTGATTTGGCAATACCCCCCCAGGTGAAAAAAAGTAAATGTGTTTAGTAAACATGATAAGCTGAGAATCATGATAAGAATATCCAATACTTTATATGATTTTCGTACAATTTAGAATTTCTGATATGTGTATTGGACACATGCCTATAAAATTTTTACTAGGGCCTTCATTTCAGCTTTCGTCCGAGTGCGGCAGACGCTACCGGCCAATCCAGCATCGGCAGAGTGTCATGTGAGCTTGAACTCCACATAACCAAAACGTTGCATGATACTCTCCCGGCACTGGATTGGCTGGGGTGGCCCAGCATCCACTGGGCCACCCCAGGGGGCGCCCATTTTACGGCAAGCACCCTCTACCAGGGGTGTTTGGCAAGCACCCATTATAAAGGGTGTTTGCCTGAACACCCTAAGGGTGTTAGCCCTGGGACAAACTGGTGTACACCCTTAAGGGTGTAAAAACTTTTAGTGTGTACCTTTGGCGCGTCATGGAGATTCCTGCTTGTGCCGGCTCCTCACCACCACCACCACCGGCTGTTAGACCTATGGGCCCGAGCTCGCTAGACGGATAGGCCTATCGGCGGTAGCACATCCTCGGAGCAGTCCACGTCCACAGTCGCTCAGTAAGCGCACGAACGTTAAATATGCACACCAGCACGGGAAAACGTGGACAGCAGACGACACGCCGCAAGAACGGCGGGTTCAGTTCGCAGAAATGAGCGCCTCGAGCACCACACTGGCCCCAGCTGCCCCGAATTCCGTTCCCGTACATTCGATGGCGCTTGTTTCGACCGGGAACGGCTGCCGTAACGTACGACTAGCACATGATAAAATATAGCACACACATGAGGTCATCGTTAATTCTAATTAACTCTACCTTTGGCGCGTCATGGAGATTCCCGCTTGTGCCGGCACACCACCAGCACCACCGCCTGTTAGGCCTATGGGCCCGGGCTCGTAAGACAGATAGGCCTAACGGCGGTAGCGCATCCTCGGAGCAGTTCACGTCCACGCGCACAATCGCCCAGTCGAGCGCACGAACGTTAAAAATGCACACCAGCAGGGAAAAACGTGTACAGCAGAAGACACGCGGCAAGAACGGCAGATTCAAATCGCAGAAGTGAGCGCCTCGAGCACCACACTGACCCCAGCTGCCCCGAATTCCCGAATGGGGTGCTCGCGCGTGGGCTTCTGGGTAGTCACCGCCGTCGGGCAGCGCTCTCCGGGCTCCTTGACGACGCGAATAGACGGCATTCTCGGCGGCGGCGTGCAATGTTCGCGCTCGTCGCTACGAGTGCACAAAAATTGAGAAAGCTGCCACGCGCCACTGAAGCTGCCACGCACCACCGACCTGTGCGCACCCGAACTCGTATGGACCAAGAAAACGCAACCTACGTATCCATCCGTGGATCGCGCCGTGTTTATTTACTTTTTTTCTGCTGTGGCTTGGAATCGGGAAGAAATCTGGCCCCGCCAGGTACCGACGCAGGTATTTCCAGAGAGGGGAGGTTAGCGTATCAGATGTCTTTTGAACCCCCCCCCCCCCCCCACCCTTTCCCTTTGTTTTCCCGCCCTAAATTTTTACACATGCACAAATCAAGAGGAAGTCAGAACATCTGGACAGACCGCCCCCCCCCCCCCCCCTCCCTCTTAATCCGCCACTGGGCCCCGCCAACGGCTCGCTTATCCTTTTGAGATCGCGTGAAAGCTTTCTCGAGAGGCCGTTGGCTGTGTTTTTCGTGAAAACCCAGGAAGATGCAGACGCACATTTTTCGGTCCTGTTCAGACGGCGCATTCATTTCACGAAACTCGTTTCGCGAGTCAAGATGCGCCAGAAAAATGCATCGTGTGAAAGGGCCTTTAAACAACACACAATGGTTGCACTATACTTGAGTCTGCCCGAAAAGAGCTGGATTGTCTTCTGCTTCCCCATAGCACCCTCAACTTTTGAGTATTCGCCAGATTGAGCGAAAAGTTCGTATTTTGTGATTAGTTTTTCACTAGTGTAATATTTGTTGTTCGAGAGCGTCGGGATTTTGGACAAAAACAAGCCCCAAAACGTCTTGGACCCATTATAACGTCCTCTTCCACGACGGGAAACCCGTTGGTGCCAGAGCCGGGACTGAGCGGAACGGGGGAAACGCCGGCTGTGTCAATGGCGGCCGATCTCCCGCAGACGGGTGGACGGATGGGAGTATTTTCAACTCCAATTTCGTCTTGCGGAGGGTTGTCATTCAAGAACTCCAGTTTAAAATGGGAGTAAAATCAGGTGTTGTCGCTTTTATACCTCGTCTCTTAGCGACCAGAGTAAAGTGGTGGTGTCTAGTTTTTATACTCCCATGTGCGGGTGTGAATGCTTTAGGCTTGGGAGTTTAATCGGTATCTTATTCTTTAAAACCCCCATCCGGGCTACTTTTCGTTTACAGTGTATGAGGTGAGCAGTCATTTCTGGCGGTCCTTGGTACATGCCGTGCTGGGGGTTTATGTAAAACTGGCCTTGTCTTTGTTACTTTCTGGTATATGGAACGCTGCATTGACTTTCTTGTAGGTCCCAGCTGCACCAAGCGGGTAGACCAACCGTCAAACACTGCAAGTCGCTCTCT